TTTACAGTCTAACAACTGCTGCCAGTCACTTGACAGACGCTCATGATTTATTTTATAAATATCCTCTCTCACTAAACTTAAACGTGTTGTAGCATTATGTCTGAGGTTTGTAAATAACTGTAAAAATTCAGAAGATCAGGTAAGTGGATTTCTAAAAACAAGTGAATTAACTAAAGCTATGCATGTGTTAATTAAATTAATGCAATATGTTGAATTTAAGAATGAAATTAACACTTTAGGCAGAAATCAATCATTATCTGGTACAAGCAAAATTTTATCTTTGAATCCATTTTTAGATAATTTAGGTATTCTCAGGGTGGGCGGTCGCTTGCGACATGCAAACCTTGCATATGGTTTTAGGCATCCAATTTTGCTTCCAAAGAAGCACATTTTAACTCATCTCATTGTTAGACATTACCATGAAAGACTTTTGCATGCAGGTCCACAACTTATGCAATCTTGCATTCAAGAACAATATTGGATCATAAATGGTAGAGCTGTTATCAGAGATTTAGTTAGGAAATGTATAAAGTGTTGCAAAATTAGAGCATCTGTCACTAATCAATTGATGAGCGATTTGCCGTCTAGTCGCGTTTCGCCTGCTCCTGCGTTTTTGCGCTGTGGAGTGGATTACGCAGGTCCTTTTCAAATTAAAGCAAATAAGGGTCGAGGCTCTAGGTCATTCAAGGCATATATAGCTCTATTTGTTTGTTTTACGACAAGAGCTATTCACTTAGAATTAGTGACTGATCTTTCAGCAGATGCTTTTATTGCAGCTCTTAAGAGGTTCATTTCCCGCAGAGGCAAAAGCAGTGATATATATAGCGATTGTGGTTCCAATTTTGTTGGAGCAAAACGCAAACTCATGGAATTTGAAAGGCTTGCTAGGTCTGCAACTTATAACCAAAATGTTAGCAGATATTTGGTTGATAATGGCATTAAATGGCATCTAAACGTTCCAGGTGCGCCACATATGGGTGGACTCTGGGAAGCTGGCATAAAATCAACAAAATACCATTTAAAACGAGTAGTTGGTGAGGCGAGATTGACATATGAAGAATTTGAAACATTTCTCACACAAATAGAAGCTTGTCTTAATTCGCGACCTTTAACAAGTTTGTCTAATGATCCAAATGACTTATCAGCATTGACGCCTGGTCATTTTCTTATTGGTAGATCATTAACAAGCATTCCTGAACCAAATTACATTGAAGTTTCCCATCTCACCAGATGGCAACATATTCAAAAAATGGTTCAACAATTTTGGAAAGCGTTGGCACAAAGAATATCTGTGTCGATTACAACAAAGACCAAAATGGCTTTTGCCAACTAAAAATCTTCAAGTTAATGATCTGTGTCTCATAAAGGAGGATAACTTACCTCCAACTAAATGGAAAATGGGTAGAATTACTCAGTTACATCCTGGTCTTGATAGTGTTGTTAGGGTTGTGACTATTAAGACTTCAGATGGCATGGTTAAAAGAAATATTACAAAATTGTGTCCATTACCAATTTGAGTTTTAATTCATGTATTATAAATTAAGTATTATATCATAATTTTAATATTGTATTGTGTTTTAAATTTACTGAATTTTAACCACTAAATGTTGAAATAGTATTTCAAGGTGGGCGGCATGTTCGCGCCTTATGTAAATTTTGATTTTGTTCCCTGCAAGAGGGCGCCTGCGAGCGCCGAACTACTTGTATATCTATTGTACGAACTTGTTCTTCACACAGTCTAATAAACGCAGTAACGAACGTTGGTGTCTACTTTCCATCCGCTAACAAATGTAATTCTATAAACATATTTAATGTTTTAAATCTGATATATTATGAATTAAATACATTTTTAATTAAAATAATTATATTAAAAGGTAAAAAAATTATAATTTTAAGATATGCATTTACTGCTTTTAAATAGTTTAGTTTGTTCATCAATAGCACAGATTAAATTAGAAAGAATAATATTTTAGATTTTTCTGAATGGCCACAGACTTGAATAAAACAGGAAACAAAGTAAAATTTTGTTTTGAGACTACTAGCCCTTTTGGGCTAAAAATCCATGATGGAACATTTTATACACAGTAAAAACATTTCTTTACAGTAACCCATTTTTTGAAATTTCTGAAGCTTTAGAATAAATCATAAGATGACTTTAGTTAATAAATCATAAGATAACCTTTATGCAAGCACATTATTAAACACTATTTTCAAAATCTACAGGAACTAAGAGCTAATCTAAGGTAACATTGATTTTTAACTAGTTCTGGTATAACTTATGTTCTTAAGCTATATAATGTAGAGCTGCTTTTTTTTCCTCTTAAAAAAAGCACATTACAGTGCCTTTTTTAAGAAGAAAAAAGAAAAATACTCATATGAGATAAATTATTTTTAAAAAAATGTTGAGCACTTCTAAATGCATTAATTAGTTCCTGATTATTAAAGTTTCATTATTTATAATACAAAAAAATAAAAGAATTGGCTTTATGGGATGATACCATAACGCTTTTTTCACTACATCCACCAAATTCACCAAAATCACATTTACCATTCTATTAATTTTTTTGGTCAGAGCAAAAGGAAGCGACAGATAAATAACAAATTTATTTATGATTCCAGGGTAGTTCACAGTAACATTCTTTACATTGTTTGGAAAGGAAAATTACTTTATACACAAAAAAGTACTTGCTATAAAATTGGCTTAGGAATTTGTCTGCTCTCTCCATTTGAGAGTTTTATAAAAATTATCACAATTTCATTATAGAAAATAAATTCAAATTTAAGAATGCACCATATAAATCACATTTACCAAATGCAAAAAGACAAAATAAAAAGAAATTTCATAAGAATAACAAACATATTTAACAGCATAAATGTCAAATGTTATTCAATAAGTAAACAGTAAACCTAATTACAAATAGTAAATTATACACAGTAACACAAAAAATTCATTAAAAGTTATAAAATATGTGTATAAAATATCTAAATGTTGAAATTCAGAGAATCTCAGCATTTTCCCTTCCTTCAGAATTTCCTTGAAACAACAGCAAAGTATGAGGACTCAGAATCATCAGGATTTTAGTGATTTAAAACATTTCTGGATTTTAGATAAGCAATTTAAAAACACAGTACAAAGTCTGAAATCCAGAAATGTGACGACTTTAGCGACTCTGGATTTTAGAACATCAATTTAAATCTAATAAGATGGCATGTTAGATGACACAGGCATCAAAATTTAGATCTGACAGAAAATTTAGAAATTAGAGTACTAAGCAGCAAAAATTATGGATGGCAAAAGTTTTAGACTTAAGCACTAGGCATAACAATCTAGGGACAGCAAAATTTTTAGAATTTACAAAGTACTGAGCAGCAGAATTTATTATTATTTTTTTTTTAAGCCTGCCTTGATTTTTAAAATGACAAGTTATAGCTGCGATTAAAGTGCACAAAATTCCAGTATCCATTGGCTGATTGATTGTTGTACAGTTTCAGGGAAAGAGTAATATGAACACATTATCATTTACTAAAACTGTAATTTTATAAAATTAATAATAATTGAAGGATCAAAAGAATTGGCTGTTTCAAATCATAAAATTAAGAAAAGCACAATTTGCTATGTAAACTGAACTTAAGTCCCTCAGAATATAATTTTTTTTCTTCTTCCCTCCTATGCCAATAAAAGAACCCCAGTATGAGAAAATATGCCACTCCACATAATATCATTTGTTGTTTAAATCAGACTATTCATTATTGCCAGGTCAGACAGAAAAATGCTAACCCACAGACAGCCACTTGAGAGCAGAAAGTGAGATTGTAGTCAATGTCAATAACTATATTGTCATTAACCATGGCATGATTCTATAGCCAGCAAATTTTTACGTACATTCAGTGAGAAGAAAAAGCGCTTTTATGACACACCTACTTTTTCTTGAGTATTATATTCTTCATTCCTAGAATTCACTAAAAAAAAAAAAAAAAAAAAAAAAAAAACTTTCTCCCATCTTTTTTTCCGGGGGGGGGGGGGTTGTCGTTATGTCTGGATATTGAATGTTTGAATTTCGGACTTTGCACTGTAGTACTAGCTGCGGCTTAAAGGACTTGTTCATGATAACACTGTGTAATCTGCCAACAGATAACGTTGTGAAAAAAGCTGTCATTAGAAGGCACAAAACTGAGCGCCAGAGAGCAAACAAATGTGATGGTGATCTGTTATGATTCCCCCAGCACATCGCTAGATGTATAAATGTAATTAATTAAAGGTAGTAAAAATGAACTAAAGGTAGTAAAACAAGAGACATTTTTTATAAGGCATGATAAGAAGAACACATCACCATCTAACAATTGTTACTCATTGTTTTCAAGCATACTAGTGACCAAAAAATGGATGCAGGTCTAAATTGTAACTGTTCAGTTAGATTTATTGTCATCAATAGTATATAATGGCAATTATATATGCAGGATATATGTATATAATTAACTAAAAGTAGTAAAACATGAAACATTTTCAACAAACATGAAGTCATGCAAAGGAGAATACATCACATCTAACAACTGTTACTCACTGTTTTCAGGCATACTAGTGACCAGTGTAACTGATGCAGGTCCAAATTGTAATTGTTCAGGTACTTATAGTAATTGTGATTAATAGTAATTATGCAGTTTATATATATAGTAATTTTACTTATGTGATTTATTTATTATTTTACCACTGGCGGCACTTGCTTATAACAGCACTGGCCGCTCCTAAGGCCAGAAGTGGTGGCCATTTTGATTTATTTATTACTTAAACAGTGAAATTATTCTTTATAATTCCTATGTTGCTATGATAAATAAACACCTTCCTCTCTTTCTGCAATAACATTTATCAAAGTATTTGACAAGATGACACTATCAAATTTTAGAACAAAAATGAGCAATATTTTTAATTAAATACAGTTTATAAGAAAGGAATGCATAGAAAAGATTGTGCATCTTTAATATAAAACAAAAGTAAAACTTACCTTTTCAACAGAAGCATGACCTGTTTTGCCTTTCTTAGCTTTTCTATCTGCAGTGTCTTCAGCTTTCTTTCTTTTGCCTATATCAAGAACTGTTTCTCAATAATAGCAGAAAATTATGAGTTAATTTGCTTTCTAGCTATAATAATTTTTTCTGCAAAGCTAAAATTTAATACCAGTTTTCTAATAAATATGCAAAAGTGTTTACAAAATAATTAAGAACTATGATAACTATAGTAAAAGTCCAATACTCCAGCATTCCATGATTCTACACATCCAATAATATGTCATATGTATATCCTACACAAATGCTATGTGATGAGAAAATAAAATTTGCTGAGTAGATTACGCCAAAGATGAACTAAAGAAAGTTTTGCTGGTACAATAGTAATGAATACTGGCAAGGAAGTAGGTTTAACTAATATTACCTGGTACAAGGCTACCAAAACATCACACAGATTTATGACATTTGCAAAGCCTTATAACCAAAACTCCCAGTAGAAGTAAAGAATTTTCATATTATCCCTCAATCAGTTTGCCCATATGGTGAACATTCAAAATCTAAAATGTCATCATGCAACAGCAATAAAATAGATTCCAGAGTGTTAACTGATAAATAATAAATTATGTTTATTCTCCAATTCATCTTTCAATAAATTCCTAATCATTAAATAAACGTACTTTTACAGCTACTCTATGTAGGGGTCTATTTAAAGTTTAAATTTTAACAATGGGTTAAATTAAATTTTTTTGACATATTATCTTCATAAATTAGATAATCTAGCCTATTTAACCTCTTCGGGACAGCATGTTGCTGAACTAAAAATTCTCTGCAGATGGGTGTGTCATATATGCATCATTCCCAAACATCATTAGCAGCCGGATGATGCACTGGTGCATCGCTGCTTGCAATGATTGAACTTCCAGATGGGTCGGCATATATGCACTTTCAAATATATGCATTCTTTTAGAATTTATTTTAATCACTAGATGGTGCTCTGTGTCTACTACAGTTAGCTTATTTGAACATTGTTGACCTAGTAACCATCAAGTACTATCTCATTTTAGTGATTTGTTTAGATGTACAAGGGGATGATATAAACTTGACAAAACCCAGATGGTGCACAGTTGGCTTCAAGTGATATACACATTGAACAGTTTCCGATTTCCCCCAATGGGAAGATTGAAAGTGGAGCTGTGGTTTTTAGAAACTCGGGTTTGTATTCAGTTTTCCTCTTCTTTACATAGCAGATGCAAGTTTTTTGCACCGAGTAAGAGTCTTGCACTGGGTAAGTGAGTTAAATTTATAGTGCGATGAAAAAAAGAGACAGAAGTTTTTAACGTAAGAAAAGTATATTCAAATTGTAAAGCCCACGAGTGTCCACTGGAGCCCATGAGCTACTATTTTTACACCGAAAACTCCAGATTTAAGTCAGAACAGTGATTTTGATACCAAAATTTTCTCACAGACTGAATTGGAAGTTTGTTTTGCGTTCACCTAACAATGCAGCAAAACAGTAGTTACTCTATCATGCCAATTTCAGCTGGAATTGTATCCAGCTATAACTGGCATCTCAAATAACCCCAGTTAGGGAAGACACATATACAATACATCATAGGAGAAAATTAATTAGGAACTGCAGGTTAAGTGCGAGGAGATGACCCAGGCCAGTTAAAAGAGAAATTTCATTTAACTAAGTTGAAAAATAAGTATGTGGTTGTGTAGTTAAAAAAAGTAGTGCAAATGAGAGCCAATTAAGAGAAAGTGAGTAATTTCAGGATAGCAAATTCTGATTCGCGAGCATCAGTCAAGTGAGAGGTCACCCAACCAAGTGCTGACCCCAGAATGCTGTTTGAGTGTCGAATGAGAGTTATTAAAAAAATTTTTAATATTATGCCGGGTTTCTAAAATATAACACGTTGGTAAGGTCTTAAATTTTTGTCTATTTCAAGAAGTTCATACTTAAAATTGTCCGAGTAGTTAATGTCTTCATTGGATACTGCTTTATTGTAGAAGTTATTATTAAGTTTGCTTATGAAGGTGGACAGAATTTGAATTTTGAGATCCTTGTAAGTTGTTCATTATGAACGAACCAAGGATGTCCTGTGACTTTACACAGATTATTGTTCTGGAAAGCTTTGAATTAGTTCATGTCAGTGTTGGAGGCTGTGCTACAAGCAGGGGATGCATATGTGAGGATAGGTCTTAGAATGAACAAGTAAATACATTTTTTGCATGTTAAATCAAGTGGGGATGAGGTATTTATAAGTGAAATAAGTTTTCTGGAAACTCCAATGGCTTTTCCAAGAGCCATGGATATATGTTTATTCCACATGAGTGAGGCGTTAAAACGAACACCTAAATAAGTGGCCTGATTTACTTTAGGGATTATTTTCATTAACTAAGCTAATATCAATGTCAACATTTTTTCTTCTATGACGCCCTATGAGAAGAAGTTTCGATTTGGATGTGTTTATTGAAGTACTCAATTTCTGAGACCATTCCTGTTTTACGTGTGTTTATCATGAACTTGAAATCTTTTGTATTTATGGGAGTTACAGAAGTAAACTTGATTCAAAGTTAAATGAATGAAACTGAATTTTTTTCAATAATCTAATGAACCTAATGATTGAAGAAACTAATAATTTCAATGAAAAAAAGATGAGTGAAAAATCCATTCATCCAAAATCAACATATTACTGTAGATGTGCCTGAAATGAGGGGAGTTTTAGGAATAACTATTCTGCTGGGAATTAAAAATTTCAACCTGAAAATGTGTTTCATAACTAATGAAATAATAGCGACCAGATTATCACACATTTTCTCCTTTTTGAATAATTTATGCTATAATATTTAATCATATATTTTATTATTTTTACGAATGTTTAGATATAGATACAAGTAAGTTTTTTACACTATTTCATGAAGATGAGTCAAATATTTTATTTTACATTTAGATTTTAATTAATTTTCTTCAGAATCTCTTGATATTCTGCATTTATGATTATATTACTGTTAGATACCATTACAGAACAAATCAAAACTACTGATTAAAAAAGAAAAGAAATTTAATAAATTTTTTTTTAAGTTAGGCTTAGTGATGCAAAATACCCCATTTGGCGAGATGGTAATACTGCAACAACACACTATAACATAACAATGGTGACGCTTCCTTCTTATAAAAAGAAGGGAAAATGTTTAGGCAATGCTGCCCATTACCCTTCCTCCATTTGAACATTTAAAACAAAGATTTTAAATGGTTATTCCCGTGTAAGATAAATAGTAAATAAGTAGATAAGATCCCAAACTGCCACCAAAAATATAGTATTAGTAAAAGATCCCATCTCTAAATTTAGGAGGTCGGTTAAATCGTTAAAACATCCTAACTCGATGAAGAGCCGTTTGAATCCCTCCCAAACCACCAAACGCCATCTCTTGGCCAAACAAGGGAGCGATGGCGAGTCTGAAAAATAAATTAAATAAGGTGGAACAGAGGTATGTCCTTAAGCCTGGTGGCATACATAGATTTGATATCTGTATTTATATTCCAAAACACAGCTGTGAGAGGGAATTCCCTTCATAGTTTCTTTTTACCCCCCCCCAAAAAAGGACTTGCACAGCATCTCATTGCTTGTTTCTTGTGGTTTCACTTTCACCTTACCTGTAGGTGTTTAGTATACATTAGGAACCCTATTATGCCAGACAGCCCTTTGTATAGAAGGGCCTGATTGAAGCTGATGTAGAAAAACCCAAGGGATTTGTTTCTAGGGGCAGAAAACACCAAACATCGTCCCAGGAAGTGAATAGGTTATTTCCTCTTCTTCTGCACCAGCTGGACAGAGAGGAGATTTGACAAGACCATATTTGTTGAGATGCTTGGCCAGATAAGCATGTTCGGTAACAATTTTAATTACCTGCCATAAGTTAGTTCTACTGAGGTATACGAGTTTACTTGATAAGTTGAGTGTACCGAGTACCAATTTAGAATGAGCACAGTCTGGTAATTTAGACTATATATCAACATGTTTGTTCTGTATCCAGTTTCTTTATTTCTTTTTTAACAGTTTGATATGAGACTGGGTAAAATGGTTCCGAGTCAGGTATGGGTAGTTGCAAAGCATCTTTGGCTACTTTATTGGCTAGTTCATTTTCACCAAAATCACAATGACCTGGGACACAAACTAAACTAATCGTGTTATGAGCCTGAGCCAGAGAATTGAACTCTTGAGTACAGTTCAAAACCCAGTTTTGTAACTTGAGATGGTTAGCCAGGGCAGGGATGGATGATTGGCTGTCAGAGAGAATATATATATTCTTGTGAACCGTATTTTTAGCTAAGAGCTCCCTGGCAACCATATTGATAACCAGATCCTCGGAAAACAGTTGTTAGTTTACCAAGGTATAGATGAAATCTAATGAAATCTTCTTCAGATCCTTTGGTTCTTATAATATCTCCAGTGAAGTTGGATTTTGATCCATCTGTGTAGCATTCAATTGATCCTGTTGGGATTAGGTCAATTAGAGATTCTATCTCATTCCTTTTTGGTATATAAGTTGAGTATAGTTTATCTAGAACTATTGTTTTAGTAATTGCATCCTTGGGCATATAGATTGTAGGGATCTCATTGCCCAAGTCCAGGCATATATCAATGTGGCTTTTATGACCAAAACCTGTCCTTTGGCACCATGTGCCATTTTTATTCAACCTATACATGGCTTTGATTGCTTTTCGCTCAAGAACAGTTTCAAGGGTGGAATTTGCAGTAAAAATTCTAATGCGGCAGTAGGGGTACTGTTTAAAGAGCCACTAATGCGTAGGCAAGCAAGTTCTTGCACCTTCTGTAAAATATTTACATATGTGCTTTTGTTAAAAGCATTATCTAGATGATGCATCTGTAAGAAAGCACTGACCAGACTATGGCAGTATAAATCCATAGAGTAGATTTTAGGTTAAGGTCCTGTTGTTTTCCAACGATTTGCCTACAAGTTACAGTCAAAAATCTTTAATCCGGACCTCAAAGCTACAAACTTTCTGCGCATGCGCATAACACCTTTACGCATGCGCATAATACGTTTACG